AGGCTTGCAATCCCACACCTGGGATGTGGAGGCAGGAGGATAAGGAGCCAGGAATTCAAGATCATCCTTGGCTATATAGAAAGTTTGAGATCAGTAGTCTACATTAGACCCTGTCTCAAAAAAAATTGTGTACAGAAAGCTAGGCATTTGGCAAGCACCTGCAATACCTGCACTCTGGAGACTGAGGCAGGAGGATAATCAACTTGAGACGAACTGGAGCTGTTAGGGGAGACCCTACCTAAAAAGTAATGCAGAAGGCTGGATGGGATGCATCAAACTCCTCTGATGCTCACTGATGTTCACGGTGTCTTCTAGGCATGTCCTGAATGGGACCAGGCTTCTCTGAGAACTTATTAACCTCTTTTTTTCCTCTCTTCAGAATCCTCCAGGGGACAGCACACCTGTAAAGTACTGAGTCTGTTCTCTCCTCTTCCATTCTAGAATTCCAGGAAATGGTGCATTCTTAAAGCCCACGTCTATGGAAGAGAGAGCGGAAGGGGCGTTTTGCCAGAAGGTCTCCAAAGCCCTGGGATCAGGAAGCTCCCCAACCTATCCCGAACTAATTTCCTGAGTCCTCCTGAAGCACTTCTGCAATGTGCTCCTTGTTTGAGGAAATGCAACGGTCTGCGGCTCTTCATTCTTTGGTGGTGGTGGGTATAGGTCCTGATGACTTCTGTAAGTGCCCCCTGGCAGGCAATGCCTTAAAAAAAAATCACCCAATAAAATCCTTTCTCATCATTGGCTGATGTATGGGGGTATTAGTCACTTGTCTCCGTGTTGTGACAAAATGTCTGTCAAAAGCAACTTAAGGAAGGCTTTACTGTGACTCACAGTGCAGAGGGACAGCCCATCATGGCGGCAGCAGAATGAGGCAGCTGGTCACATGGCATCTTTGGCCAGGAAGCAGAAAGAGGTGAATGCTGGTGCTCAGCTCGCTTTCTCCTTTTTCCCTGGTCCAGGACCCCAGCCCAGGATGGGACCACCCACATTTGTGGTGGATCTTCCCACTTCAATTAACCTAATCTAGGTAATTCCTCCCAGACATGCCCAGAGGTTTGTTTCCATGGTGATTCAAAAATCCTGCCAAGCTAACAATACTAATCATGAGAGGTTTTGGTTTGGTTTTATTTTGTGATAGGATTTCAAAATTCAGCCCTGGCTGGCTTGGAGCTCCCTATGAGAAGCCATGCTGGTCTTAACCTCACAAAGATCCACCTGCCTCTACTTCCGCAGACGTAGAAGGGATTAAAGATGTGCACCACTAGCTGGGTGGTGGCGGTGGCGGTGGCGGTGCTCGCCTTTAATCCCAGCACTCGGGAGGCAGAGCCAGGCAAATCTCTGTGAGTTCGAGTCCAGCCTGGTTTACCAAGTTATATCCAGGAAAGGCTCCAAAGCTACACAGAGAAACCCTATCTTGAAACACCCCACCAAAAAAAAAAAAAAAAAAAAATAGATGTACCCAGCTGCAATGAGTGGTTTCGCACTTGTTTATTTATTTATTTTATTCAGCAAGGTAATGGGAACAAAGAAAGCAGAGACCAAGGATTTTTTCCAAAGATCTCAAGTGCCCTCAAACACCGAGTAAGCCACACTGGCATTGTACATGAGGGGACAGAGGAATTGTTTTTGTTTGTTTTGTTTTGGAATCTGGTTTTTAAAAACATGTAAGTGTTGAAAATAAATATTACTGTCCTGCTAGGAATTTTATTCCCAGCAATCCAGTTAACTCTGAAATTAATATTTTTCAGAGAGGTTTCAGCCAGCATAAAATCACTCTTACATGAGCCAGACACAGTGGTGCACATCTGTAATCCCAATGCGCAGGAGATGGAAACACTTGGGTCAGAAGTTCAAGACCAGCTTTGGCTGTGTATAGAGTTTGAGACCGACCAGGGCTACATCTTTTCTCAGCCAGTAAAGGGTGAGGATTATCCTCTGAGCTCTGCAACCATGCTGTGGCACAGTGCCCTCTCCGCCAATAAATAAAGGTTAATTTAAAAATTACTCCTTACGGGGTTGGGGATTTAGCTCAGTGGTAAAGCGCTTGCCTAGTAAGTGCAAGGCCCTGGGTTCGGTCCTTAGCTTGGGGGGGTGGAGAAAAGAAAAAAATTACTCCTTACACGTTTGTTTTCTGCTGGTGGGTATGAGATTTTCCTAAGAGAAGGCAAAACAGCTGAACTGGCTTATACAGCCTAGAGTGTTTGCTGTTACAGCTCCACACAACAGACTCATCTTGAAGTTGTTTTGGCTTTTTCCTCCCAGAGAAACAAGTGTTCAGATTAGCTTGCCCTAGCATTTTCCTGGCTCATAAGAGACAACACTGTTTGAGGCTAGCCTCCAGGGTCCTGTTACAGGGTTGGGGAGTCTCGAGCCAGGAATTTCTCATTAGGCTGCTTTCCCAGTGGTACCTAAAGCTAGTCTCTGGCTGACCCTGGAAGTTGAGGACACCTGAGAGTCCTGGAGCACTTTCCTAGGAGCTTGTTTAACAGTTCACTCTGTGTGTGTGTGTGTGTGTGTGTGTGTGTGTGAATGTTGTATGCAGGTATACATAAGAGTGCACATGCATGTGTGTGTGTGTAGAAGCCAGGGATCGATGTCAGATGTCTTACTCAGTCTCTCTCCACCTTATTTTCTGAGACAATGTCTCACTTGGACTTGGGGCTGATAAGGCTAGGCTAGGCTGGGCAGCAAGCCCATCGGCCTCTGGCTCCTCAGTGCTGGGAATACAGCCCCCAATGCTCTGCTCAACATTTTGTTTGGGTGCTGGGGATCTGAACTCAGGCCCTCACTTTACCTATTGATCCATGTCTCCAGCCCCCAGGATCTCACACTTTTAACCCAGTGTCCACACTTACCATCTTCTGGGGTCCTCCTATGCTGCCTCCCATATGCTAAATAGACTACCCAGAATTTAAACCTCTTTAATCCCAGTACTGGGGAGGCAGAGGCAGGTGAGTCTCGTGAATGTAAGGTCAACCTGGTCTACCTAGAGAGTTCCAGGCCGGCTAGGGCTACATAGTTGAGATCCTCATTCAAACAACAAACCCCAAAGCTATAACAAACAAACAAACAAACAAACAAAAAACCCAAATACTCTACATATATAATCTTCAAACTTGGTTTTAGGAACTTAATTTCACAGTCTTTATTTAGGAGAAGGAGCAATGGCCAAAAAAAAAAAAAAAAAAAGCAATGAGGGAACTAAGAAGATGGCTGATCAGGTCAAAGTATTTGCTGTGCAGTTAGACCAGAATTCAGGAGCTTGTGGACCATCCAGCCTGCTGTGTGCATCAGCAAAACAGCAGAGACCCTGCTCAAACGAGATGGACTGAAGTCATCCTCTGACGCCCATACACTTACTGTGACATGAACACGCCCTACACACACACACACACACACACACACACACACACACGCACACGCACACGCACACGCACACGCACACGCACACGCGCACACACGCTTACATGTTCTGCATAAATTTCTGTGTCTGACATTTCTACTCAGTTTTGGCTTACTCATAGTTTTACATACTGAGGGAAAACTTTGAATATGACAACACTCAGGACGAAATCAAAACAGGAAAATTTTAACAAAGACTGTTTGGTCCAGAAAAGGGGCTAACCAAGCTTACAGGCAGCTTGATTTTCATGCTGGCCTTGGCTATCGTCATCTATTCTTCAGATGACAAACAAAATATGTTCTCAGCAGAGTCGAATATTTTGACTTTAAAATGAAGGTTTAGATTGCAATATATTTTCCAGAACTGAAAAAGTGTCTTGTTAATTTTTTTCTTGCTTGTTTATAAAATAAGGCTGCAACAGTGGCTTTAATTTGGACTATTTTTTTTTTTTTAATCTAACTACAATCTTGGCTAGAAGCTTGGAGAGGTAGTTCGGGATTGAACAGTGGCAATCCCATAATTTGGAAGGTGAAAACAGGATGATCAGGAATTCAAGGCCATTTTTGACTACATAGTGATTTTGATGCCAGGCTGGGGTATTCGAGACCTTGTTTTGTTTATTTAAAGAAACAACAACAAAACCTTTTTTGAGACAGGGTCTCATGATGTAGCTTAGGCTAGCCTATAGTTTCCACATCCCAAATGTAAGATTATTAGCCTGTGCCATCATGCCTAGCTAACTTATGGGTTTTCAAAATAGTTCTTTCTGTATCAAAATGAAAATGAAGCAAAGCTAGGACATACTTGTCGATTTGCTTGTTTACACAGTTCTGTGTAGCAATTACAGGTTAGTGTTGTGTAAATGAGTGCTCACGAGTCCAATTTCAAGCAAAAACCTATCCCGGATCTCCTCTGCAACTGTTAGGGTATGGGATTACCTCACAAACACTTAAGAAGGCTGATGAAATCGGAATCGACAGGATAGTTTCCACTTGGCCTGTTAATTTATTCACCAAGAAGACTATAGATTTACATGTTTTCACTTGTTCCCAAAACATCAGCTTTATTTTGTCAGTAGTAGAGTAGATTTTTTTAAAAAAGGGATTTATTTATTTTATATGTATATATGTACCACATTGATGCTGGTACGCATGGAGGCCAGAAGAGGGCATCAGATACCCTGGTGCTGGAGTTATAGGCGGTTATGAACTGTCTGATGTGTGTCCTCAGTAAAAGCAGCAGGTGCTCTTAACTGTTGAGCCTCCTCTCCAGGTCCATGGAAGGTAGACTTTGACATTTTTGCCTTTGTTTATAGCCCATTGCTTACAACTAATATAAGTAGAGGTGCTATCTATTTAAGGATGAGCTTAAACTTAGGATCCTCCTAACTCCACCCCATCAGTGTGGGTATTACAGGCATGCACCATCACGCCCAATTCATGTGGTGCTGAAGAGGAGAAGCGACTTCAACAAGCCATGACATACTCCTCTCCGTAGTAGAAATAAGTAGATGTCAAATAAAATAAAATAACGATGTCCGCCAGGCGTGGTGGCGCACACCTTTAGTCCCAGCACTCGGGAGGCAAGGGCAGTGGATCTCAGTGAGTTCGAGGCCAGCCTGGTCAAAGCGAGTTTTAGGACCTTATCTTGGAAAACTAAACCCCAAAACAAAACAAATGTAAATGGGCCAAGCTTCAGTACACATGCCTGTGCTCCGCTAAATGCTTCTTCACACTTCAAAAATACCGCAGCCATGGGCGCACACCTTTTAATGCCAGCACTCAGGAGACAGAGGCAGGAGGATCTCTGTGAGTTGGAGGCTGGCCTCGTCTACGGAGTTCCGGGACAGCCATGGCTACATAGGGAAACCCTGTCTTAAAAACAAAAACAAAAACAAAAACAAAAACCATCCACTGTTACATTTTCCTTGAAATTCATGGTCTTCGCCTTTAGCCATGATAGACATCCAAGAGCCAATAAAATGAGAAACCTTACAGCCCTGAAATACGCGGGAACCGGGTCTACCCGGACGTACCAGAAGAGGACGGGGCACGGCAGGTTCTTCTTCTGGGTCAGCAGCGACCTCTTCCGGGCCACGGCTGGGGAGGCGGAAGTGCGGTGTTCCCCAAGGCTGCCGTCTGTGCGGGCGGAGGGGAGGCTCCCGACGTGGGGGCCGGGCCGGCATGGCTGCAGCGGCGGCCGGGACGGGGACCTGGGCGGCGCAGGAAAAGCAGTTCCCGCCGGCGCTGCTGAGCTTCTTCATCTATAACCCACGCTTCGGGCCGCGCGAGGGAGAGGTACGCCGGGGGGCTGCGG